CTAATTATTGTATTTTATATTATTGGCATTACTTACATTATAAGTTCTTATACTTATTGAGTAACGTTTTTAGTTTTGTTTGATAATCATTAGTGTTTATTTTATTGTGTAGTACGTGGTAGGAATTTTGAATTATTTCCTAAGTGTTACATACATTGGGCGCAGGGTTTTTTAACGTTATCGTTACGCTGGCTTCTTTTTTTTCATTTTAACTATTATCTTTACAATTTTCGCCCACACCCTAAACTGCGACTTCTTAATGTAAGTTGGTAAGTTTGTTAACAATTAATTTATTGTCTTTATATGAAATAGTATTATTTTTAACATTCCAGGACTCGTGAGAATATATAATTCAAGATGAGAGTCGAAGCTGTTGGTGGAGCGTCTGTTAGGACGTGGTCTGCGGACGGGAGGAAACCTTCTATGAAGAGAAGTGTATGTAGCTGATGTACGATAGTAGTGTGACGGTATATTGTACTGTTAAATATTTAATATTATTCTGTTATTATTCAGAGTTAGGTTGAACTATTTTACTGTCCATTTAATCACTTTTATTATTACGTATTACATTAATTGAACGTTTCTGACACAATGATGTCACCCTTGATATTGTTATTTGATGAAATGCAATAAAAGAAATATTATCAAATTTTTCGAACTAAAAGTAACCTCACTAACTGTTTAATACAAACTTAAATAATTCACAATACTAAGTATTTTAAGTAGCTCCTTATTGTTATTCGATTGTTTCCAACACATCCACACGTTATGGCTTACTGATCTACAGAAAATATTTCTAACGCTTGTTTCTTAGCTTCACTTGTATGTTGGTTTGTATGTTTGTAACTTCTTACCTGAAATAAATAATAGTAATTATAACTATAACTAGCTCTTCCCCGCGGCTCCGTCCGCGTGAACATCACAGTTGTTCTCTGTCACTAAGGCCACTGAACCTGATCTGCTTCCACTTCATGGTTCCACCCGCGAAATGTTGGGATCGTGTAATCGGTATCATCTATCTTCATACAAAATTTATCACAATCGGTTCAACGGTTTAGTCGTGAAAACGTACTCGTAACATATAGACAGACAGTTACTTTCCCATTTATAATATTAAGAGGGATTTGAAAAATAATTGCTATCGCTTATAGAAATCATGCAATTAATGATACAAAAAAGGACACATCTGTTGATAGCCAAATAAAAATATTGAAATTAAATTAATGTAAAAAACATTGTTATGAAATACAAAACTACGAAGTTGTTTTTATTAAATAATTTATATTAAAGAGGAATAGTAAATGAAAGAAATAATTTAATTTAAAAAAGCGCGACGTATCTTTAGATTTTAGAATATAACGGTACACTTATAAATATCAAGTCGTGAGAGGCGAGTGTACACCGTGGGAAAGAGTACGTATCCATGTGTTTGAGCCTAAAATGAAGAGAATTGCTCACGTGTACCAACATAGTACACATCTGCCTTATATGGCTTAACTAATTTTCAGCCCGCGGCTTCACCCGGGTCGAGTACGGTTATATCGCGTTTCCAAGAGAACTTTTCAAAAGTCTGGGATAAAAAACTATCCTATTTCTTTCTCAAGGTCAACTCCATATCCGTACCAAATTTCATTAAAATCAGTTCAGTGGTTTAGGCGTGAAAGCGTAACAGACAGACAGACAGACAGAGTTATTTTTGCATTTATAATATTAGTTTATAATATTAGAACGGTTTAACAGAATAGTAATATCTAGCACTCCGCGAACTTTAACACCAAAATAAAATCCGTTTTTTGATCATAATATTTTTAATGTGAATTATAAAAATTTAGATCTTTTTAGATTGGTACTTTTTTTTATTTTTTTTTTGTATGCTAGTCCCTCTGACGTGGTCAGAGACCTTTGTTCTTCGACACTTTCATGCTAGTTCTCTCTTTTGCTAGGGCCTTTCATTCCTCATACTATCTTTCTGTCATACATCTCTTTCATTCCTAGGTTATACCTTTCCTATTGTGTTCCTGACTTATATTCTATTATACTATTTTCATCTTTTATTTCTTATTACATTGTCCTTGATGACTTTTCATACGTTTCCAATTTACTTTTATCAATTGCGAGAATTCTATTTTACAATTTATTTTTAATTTTTCACTATTTACAATAATTGCCCTAATCCTACATATTTACATTTTACATTTATCTTAATTTTTACATTAAATTTATGTAACATTTTTAACATTTAAACATTAACATTTAAACATTTTACATTTTTAACATTGAATTTAACATTAGGTATATTTTATGTTTGGTCATTCATTGTTATTTAAATGACTACATTGTATTGTTATTCTATTTCAGGAGTTCCGCCGACCAGGAGCTCGTCTTTTTGCTCTTCCTTGCTGATTGTTCCGGACTCCATGCTGTCACTGACTCCATACTCAATCTGCCACACAGCGGATCTGGTGCTGCTGGTGAGTGTTCTCCTATTAACCTTCGATTCCTTAGCCAATAAGTCATTTACGGTTTGGTTCCTGCACCTTTGAGAGCACCTCCTCCAAACATTAGACTGCTATTTTATAAGCGAGTATTTTTGTAAATTTTTTAAACATTTCATTATTTATTTTAAGCCAATCCTTGAAGTGTCTGTCTTTGTATGTCTTTATATAAGAACAATATTGTATTATGTATTACAGATGGTGTTATTGGACTGTACTTGATTCATCCATCAGGAGATGACGGCTGATCATCAAGTGTTAGATGAAAACTAACAATGAACCAAGTGTTGATGAAACATAGAATTATATGAAGAGGAGAATGACTCGGTTAGTGTAATAATGTGTGTGTACGTATACATAGAAAGATAATTAATTTTAATTTATTTAAAACAATTTTATATTTGCACATCTTGAGTTGTTATTAATGTCTAACAACTGTTAACATTACCAAGTCGTATCAGTTCATTGAAGTATGCAGAATAGAAGTTAGTAACGACGAGAGATATAAGAGTGGTGGATAAGATAGACTACTTTACTTATTGATTGTTTAAAACCAGGCCACTTAATGAAGTGTTCAAAGTATACATGTTTGTTGTCCATACATTTGTATAGAGCTCTCCTACAGAAACATCTTCCTCAATCAAAGTACTCATAGTTTCACTACCGTCGTATGTTAACACTTTACGGTCTGTCCATCGATCATGAAATACATGTTTATTTAAATGAATAAGACTCGCGACAATCTTATATCTCTTTACATACATGTTTATGTTAAAATACATATAAAGGTAATTGTAAAACAAGTAAATTAAATGATATTTAAACGAGTCTTTATATAGGATGCCACGTGTTAAGACTGATAACAATATTAAAATATTTAATGAAGGCTAATTCTAAAACGGATGTTTGTAGTGTAGATGACTGAGGTGTTGTTGCGGTCGGGATGTCCGATTGTTACAATCGGAATCGTTCGCCGCTTGAGGGGTGGATCGGATCAGATAATAATTCCTCCGATAGTAGGCGGCCGGTGATCCGATCCTCGGGATCAGGGTTCGTGGCAGGTCGTATCGCCGTTCACAATGAAACCACAACTTGCTAGTAATGGCGGCAGAATCACTTGGTTTAAATGACCACGTGGGCCCTAGTCACTATCTTTAAGTTCGGTTCTTCAATGTTCGGGTTCTTCAAAGCGTAGGAGTTGTTGTAATCACGAGAGCTGGCTGATGACTGACTTTTCGATTTTTTTTTATTTTTTTTTTCTTCGAATTGACATATGCTGTTGGCCCTAGTGGCTTTGACAGCGTCACCGAGAGGGGTGGGTGGTCCTGATTGGACCGACCCGATTTAATTCGGGCCCGAAGGGCCCGACCAGGGATACGCCCGTCCCAAGGGTGCCTCTAAGAGGCCGGACCTCGGCTTAGGACGTCGTTGTCGTGGAGGTATTAGTCGGTTGATTGAATGCATGACGCCCCCCGACGGCAGAACGCCGGAGTGACGTGTATGAAACACTCACCGCCTTCGCCGGCGAAGGCGGTGAGTGTTTATGATGTCTGGTGTGTTGTTGGGATTATTGTTCGTATTGTCTGTCGTGATCTGGTCGTCAGGGTCTAAGAGGACGTCTTTCGGACGCCTCTTACCTAATTTGGAGTTGGGTGACGGGGAATATTTAGACGCTTGGATTACTAGCGGGTTCGCATGAATTGACGCGGTATCGAAGAATCTCTTTGAGATCATCTTGATGTGCGCAGCTATCGTAGGAAGTTGGAGGTCCCTATGAAGATCTGAGTTCCTGAGGTACCAGGGTGCGCCTGTGGCTATGCGCATGAATCTATTTTGCACTACTTGCAGTTTATTAATGGCTGAGGGCCGGACATGGGCGAAGCATGCGTTTGCGTATGACATAACTGGAAGTATGGAGGTCTTGTAAAGTGTGACCTTATTTCTAAGGGACAGTTTACTTTTACTGCAGATGAGGGGGTATAGGCGACCTAAGATGAAGGATGCCCTATTTCTGACAGTTCGAATGTGGGGATTAAAGCTGAAATAACTATCTAGAGTAACCCCCAGATATTTGGCTCTTTTTTGCCAGGAAATGGGACTATCGTAAAGTGAGACCTTTCTGTAGGGGATGCCTACTCGATTGCTTCTGGTAAAGATTAAGATTACTTTTCGACTCACAGCGGCCGTGTTCTATACGCGTTGCGCGCGCGCACCTAGCACCGCTGTGAGTCAGCGCGAATGCCCCGCCCCTTCCAAGTGACTCTACCGCCGTACGTTTATTGTTCAATAGGTTCGCATCGAGTTTACAACAATAGACTGCGCTCTTGCAAGAGACGCTCATAGATATATTCATAGTTATACGTGTACATTTATAATTAACATGATGCGCTCTTACAAGAGTCGCTTTCCGTACAGTCTTTTATTTATTAAACATACAATTTCTATATAAATATTAACCTAACTTCCTTAATATTTACATCTCTTATATTTAAATCTAATTATCTACTAAATATTAGCTGCGTCGCCGACATCCTCCCCCTCGTGCTTCGCACCATCCTCTTGTCCGGCGACGCGAAGCTGTTCCGGACCGCCGCGCTGCTGCTCGGCGATCTTGTCTTCAACGGTGGGCTGGCTCACCAGCCTTACAATCTTCGAGCTCGGCCTTTTTATAAGGCCAGTGGAGGTGCGCACGTCTACTAAGCGCGTTCGCCCGTCGGGGCCTGGGTAAACCCTTATCACTTCTCCTCGCGGCCACGAGTTTCTTGGTAGCGTCGAGTCCACAACGATGACCACGTCCCCCTGCTGAAGATCTGCGGTGTCGGCGCCGCCTCCAATTCGACGAGGAACAAGAGTAGGGAGGTATTCTTTCATCCACCTCGCCCAGAAGTGGTCCGCTAAATGTTGCGCTGCTTTCCAGGTCCTACCCTTGACCTCGTCTTCAGTGAATGTTCCCATCGTCGGCGCCCCGCAAGACCTCCCAATCAGGAAATGGTTCGGGGTCAGAGACTCTTCCTTGTGGTCATCTACTTCTATTAGTGGCCGTGAGTTTATTATATGCTCGGCCTCCAAAAGCAAGGTATGCAAAACTTCTTCCCTTGGTTTCCTTTCTTTCAACGTCGCGGAGAGGGCCGTCTTCACGGAGGCCACCAGACGCTCCCACGCGCCTCCCATGTTCGGGGCACCAGGTGGTATGAACTTCCACCTGATGCCCTTCAATTGTGCTTCCGCTCCGAGCGCCTCGATAACTTCTTTGTTAGCCCGCACGAAATTGGTCCCGTTGTCACTAAACATAACCTTGGGCCAACCCCGGCGGGCCGTCATCCTTCTGAGCGCCAGTATCATCGAGTCGGCCGATAATGAGGCGACCAACTCTAAATGAATCGCTCTGGTGGTGAGGCAAGTGAACAACGCCCCCCACCGCTTCTCGTTTCTCCTCCCCACGGTGACCGTCATTGGGCCGAAATAATCCACCGCGGTACAAGTGAAAGGTGGCTCGCCGTATCGGAGCCGTTCCCGCGGTAGATCTCCTGTGGGTGGGGTCTTCGGAGTGCCCTTACGTACTAGACACCACTGGCACCGATGGGCTATCGCTCGCACCGCTGATCTCAGGCCCAGGACCCAAAACCTTCTCCTTACTTCGTTCATCACGGTAGCGTGGTTACCGTGATTGAACTTATCGTGGTAATGGGTCAGGATCAACTTCGTAATGTCATCTTTCGCGTCTAATACTACTGGCTGCCTGAGATCGCGGTCGAGTTCTTCGGCGGCGTCGATCCTGCCGCGGATCCTTATAAGCCCATCGTTCACGGCGATATCCAGCCGTTTAAGTTTGCTCTTCCGGTCTAGGGGTTGCTGGCTCTCCACAGCCTTTCTTTCCTCTTTGAAACATTCTTGGCTTCTTCGTAGTAGCAATTCTTCCGCCTTTTTTAGCCATTCGGGCTCTAGGGGACTGTACCGCTCCTTTATTGCGAGTGGAGCTGAGTGCTGTGCCTTCGTTTTCGTTTTATTGTGTTTCTTTGTCCACACCGGGTCGCTGGATCGTGTGCTTAGAGTCCGTTCCCTGCGGCACAGTTGAACGAATTGAAGCACCCTCGCGGTCGCCCGTAGGAGCCTTACCCACCGGGAGAATCTCACCGGGTCAGGTGTGGGAAGGCTGCTAGGTGAAACGACGGCCACGAGGTGCTTGGCTTCTTTTTCCTCCCCGGTGATGGACGTCTTGAATTTCCTGTGCTCTGGCCATAATATATCATTCAAACTTTTCCCGTTGAACTTCTTCGTTGAACTTTTTCGTGGGATGGGTCACGGCGAAATGCAGCAGGTACCATCTTCTCGCCGAGCCGCCGTCTCCTGGAACCTCTTCGGCGTACATTTTACATCTTATATTCTATTTCACTTATTATTATTATTATTATTATTATTATAAGACTTTATTATTCTTATAAGACCGCCTGCTAAAAGTGAGGCTCGGACTACGATCTTAGGACGTCGTGGATCAAGGGGGGATTGCCAGCGGCGGCCTCCGACGCCCTCTCGCGAGGGGTGTGCGGAGGCGGGGTGTGTGTGTCTGTGTGTAGTGTGACTTTCCTAGTCCTACTACTACTATTAAAACTATCTGACGACGCGGTGATCCTATTGCTCGTCGTAATTTCTTGTTCCGGTTCGCTGAGCACGTGCTTGAGACGTGTCCTAACACCCTCATGATATCTATTTGGGAGGTAGGTTATCACTTCCTTCACCAGAGGATTGGGATAGTGGTACCACGGGGCGCCCGTGATCGTGAATAGGAAGCAGTTATAGAGAGTCTGAAGGGGTTTCAGAATCCGATGAGCGAATGCTACGCTAGCGTAGGACCAACACCAATCTTGTGCAAGTTTTACACGTACAAACACTTCGAACTTCTCACTAACATCCATCCGTTTTACACGTTCTATTTAATATAATATGTTTATTTAAATTTAAGATGCAATATGATTTTTCGTAAAATAAATTAATATAAATGTATATAGCTTACATTGATGTTGAGATGTTTAAATTCACTATAGTCTTTAAGACACGTATGTGTACAGAAATATATCATAATTGTCATTTCTCTTTCATCGTTAATTATCATATACATATATGTAGTTAGGTGAACTAGTAAATAAAGACTGTACAAGTGTACAAGGAAGATTGCTCCACTTTCATAACTGTAATAATGTAATAACAAGACTAAATGCAGACTCTTTCATCTCGTCTGTTCGTGATTACTGCTACTAAAGAGAAGCCGAAACGGCTGTTAATATGCAAAATATCAAAATAAATATGTTGTAAATCCAAGTGTTAGTTTCATTTAAACAGAACTATATATTCATTGGCTAAGTGATTGGTAACAAAGCCATCTATTGAGTAATTTCTTTGTATTCTAATTTATTCTAGAACTGTTCATTGATAACTATACAAGATACAAACATATTAAACCCCTCAGTATATTTCATTTCATCAACATTGTTATAGCCCTGTCCCTGACACACAATTTTTAAATTTATGTAACCGACACCGTAGACAACAACATAATAAGATATTTGTATATAACATATATTCTCACCAAAAGAGATGATCTTAAGCTTTAGCATCTATTTCTCTATTACTAATACTAAACACGAAGATAAATGCCTAATTGGTTTTTAGTTTCAAGCCAGACACGTGTGTACATTTTTAAATGAAACTTTAGTTTTTCTGTATATATGTAAATCTAGTACAGTCACAACAATATTGTTGAGCTAGAGATGCTGATCGGAGTCCTGAATGGATGTCTTAAAGACTTTGAAATGATTAGTTTATGAGTAAAACTGATATTACATGCTAATGAAGTCGATTATATTAATTTTATAATAAACTCTAGTTACAATACACAACGGCCTTTTTAAGGAGAATAATTAAAACGATATTTTTTTCGTAAGCCTCTTCTTAATAATTACATTTTAGTTTCTACTTCACTGTAACTGTTGGCTTTGAGTCTTGACAGTGTCACTAGGAGGAGTGGTTGGCCCGACGGGACCTACCCGTTATATACGGGCCCTTCGGGTCTGTAATTAAGGAGTAGGCCCGTCCCAAGAGCGCCTCATCAAGACATCGTTGTAGTTATTTGTTTTGTAACACTTGCAGTTTGTTTATTGTTGAGGGACGAGCGTGGGTGAAGCACGCGCATGCGTACGACGTGACAGGAAGTATGCTGGTCTTGTAAAACTAACTTTATCACTTTCAGTATAAAAAATAGTTCACAACCCAAAACAAATTTTCGTATAAAAATTCATAATTGTAATAAAGTAAGAGGTAATAACTGCAATTGTCCATTAATAAATAAAGTGAGTCAAATAAAATACTTGGGAATAATGGTCGACCAGAACTTGTCATGGTACCTGCAAATTGAACATGTTGCGGCACGCATTAGGAAGTTCACGTGGATGTTCAAATCACTGAGACATATTGCAGCTAATAATATTGGAAATGACTCCTCAAACAATCTTTAAAATCAAATTTATATAGCTTTGGTGCAATCCATAATAACATACTGCTTACCTATTTGGGGAGGTGCACGTAAAACACGATTCATGGAAATTGAACGAGCTCAAAGAGCATTGATTAAAGTAATGTTCTTTAAAAAACAACGGTTCAGTACAGAAAGACTCTATAAAGAAAGTGGTTTGTTAACTGTACGGAAATTGTATATAATTGTATTCGATACATCGTTACTCAATAAACGTATAGCATATAATGTTATATCTATCCCTGCTACTAAAACAGTCTTCGCTAGGATTCAGTTTGATAATAGATCTGCTTATTTATATAATAAAATAAATAAATACGTTGATATATATTCAAAACACAAATGCGCACGCGCACGCATGCATACACATACATTTTAATCCCACATTTGCTTCCTTTATGGTAATTACTTCTCTTATTATTACTTTTTTATATTATTTCTTTATTATTGTTGTTCCTTAAATATCTTGTACACTTGTACCTAATTCGTGATATGGAACAGCGGAGTTTCCTGGCACAGGCTTTTCATATGCTTAAAAGGAGACTCCTATAACTTTATATTTAAGTACAAATTTGTTAAAGAAAATACAGAATTTTTATTTTTTATTTATTATTATTGTAAAGTGTGATGTTATTACTAAGGGACATTAGACTTGTCAGCATCAGAACTAAACAGCAGGGAACAGATCTGGGGGTTGTTGTATGTATCATTAAAATGTTATCAACTTCATACTCCTCTCATCTTATATTGGCTAACTCTTTGAGCAAACGCATTATTATAGGAAGTTGTAGGTGTGTTTTAGACTACTGAACTAATTTAACCTTTAATAATCGTCTTGTGTCGTGAATAAATAATAGAAAAGTTGTATTGTTTATATAAATGATAAAGGAGATTGTCCACTTAGTATGGGGACTTTGGCCTGACGTGAACAGACATTTTATCATATTTTTTGTAATTAGTTTAAAAGCACTAACTAGTAATAACGAGAATATGAACGAGAATTAGTTTTGTATCAAAATGTTTAAAAAGAGATATTTGTCATGTGAGAAAAAACAGGTTAAAGCAAAATAAAACAACATTTTTTATGATTTATTTTTATTCTGAGACATCATATGTTATTAATGTGTTCAAGAAATTGGGCAGGTGGTGAAATGTATTCCTGATACCTTGCCCAACTTAAAAACCATAAAATAGTAACTATATGAGCTCAGGAACCCACTGTCCTTCGGCCAACCATGCAATTACAATAATTTTCTTTTGTAGCTCCCTTACGATTGTGATTATTTTAGTTAGCGATGCAGATAGTTTATTGTTAAAGATCTTTATTCTCATAAGAACATACACAGGTTCACTTACATGAGATTAAATAATGTTACACACATACATTAATATTTGATACATGGAATGGCTAGTACAGGCGGTCCTCGACTTACGTCGTTTCGATTTACGTCGTTTCAAGTTACGTCGAACAATGTTTTGACACTATTCCTCAAGCATACGTCATTTGTTTCGATTTCCGGCATATCGGAGAATTCACTTGTCGCAAGGTCAATGTCCGTGAGGGGCGCTAACCGTTTGCCTGACATTGCAGTTACTACTGATGATATTGATGATCTGTTAAGATCACATTCGCAAGAACTGACTGATGAAGATCTTATTGAATTGGAGGCACAAGTACAAAAGGAAGCACTCGAGTCACAAGAAATAGCTTCTTCTATTAGTGATTCTGAAAAAGAACTTACACTAAAAAAACTTTCCGTAGCCTTTGCAAATTTGAAGAATGCCATGAAAATTTTTGAAGAAAATGATCCTAATTTTGAGAGAAGTTTTAACGTTAATAACAAAATTTGTGCAGCCTATCACTGTTACCAAGATCTGTATGATAGCAAGAAGAAAGAAGCCAAGCAATCTAGAATTGATAGTTTCTTTAAGCCAAAAGTTTAATTTATTATTTATCATTACATATGTATAAGTTTTATAATTATTATTAAAATTAATAACACAAAAATACCAAAAATAACTAGCAATTTCATAAGTGCATAATATATAATTATTTTAAGAACTTACTTTTAATAATAAAGTACGTCCTTTGTTATAAATGCAGTTTTTTTTATTATTTCGAGTCCGTGTGGAACCTAACCCTTGAGTTTTACATGTAAACATATGAAAAAATATGTCTCGACTTACGTCGTTTCGATTTACGTCGCGTATTTCAAGAACCTAACATGCCGTAAGTACGAGGACTGCCTGTACTACTTAATATTGTCTAATATATATATATATATTTTAAGTTTACTTTTAAAACAATTTAAACATTGACATTCCTTTATGTAGTTTGTCAAATCATTATATAGTTTTACTCCATCAAAACATATATTTTTGTGTCCATAGTTTAAGGTTTCGACTTTAGGTAACTCAAGTTTATGTCTGTTTCTTAAGTTATGCTTGTTTGATTTTTGTGTCAATGTTATGTTTGAATGAATACTTTTAGATAGTATCTATTTATTAAAATACATGTGTTAAAATATATGTTTGATTTAGGTTGAATATTTTTGATTTTTTGTACAGTTCTATCGATGGTGTGAAAAACTACTTTTATAATTTTGTTCTGCGTAATTTGTAAGATTTTAAGGTTAGACTTTGAAGCTGACCCTCATATTTCAATTAAGTAATCAATGTGTGGTTTTATCAGGGAATTGTAGATAACACTTCGCACTTTTTTTGGTATACAATTATTAGATCTTCGGAGTGCTCCTACAAGCGATGAGTTTTGATCTGATATGCTCAATGTGTGGTTTCCATGTCAGTTTATCATCCAAGTAGTTTCGGGGTCCATATTACGT